AATGTATTTGGATCACTCACTAGGATCCTCCATGTAAGAGACTCCTTCTGGGATAATGACCCCTCTCTCCAGAGCAATTTCCCCTCACGAACAGGTATTGTGGCAATAAAACACTCCCCAGGCAGGATGTGGCCAATTATCTTTTTTTCTTCTGCCTCAGGGGTGGGGTTTCACCACTTGTGTGTTATGAGAAACAAATGCTCACAGATCCTCATAGGAACTCCTGGGTGTACTCCTATGGGTGTATCAAGATGGCCCTTCCGCTGGAAGTCGGAAGTCTCCGTCTCTTGTCCGACTAGTTGCGTCACTAATCACGTGACTTCATCAGGTGGAAGTAAATACTGCCCCATCTTTGGTTATAACAGGAGAAATAGTGCCCCATTGTTGGTTTTAGCAGAGCGAGGAATAGTGCCCCATCATTGGTCTTAGCAGGAGTAATAGTGCCCCATCATTGGTATCAGTGGGGGAATAGTGCCCCATCATTGGTATCAGTGGGGGAATAGTGCCCCATCATTGGTCTTAGCAGGAGGAATAGTGCCCCATTATTGGTCTTAGCAGGAGGAATAGTGCCCCATCATTGGTATCAGTGGGGGAATAGTGCCCCATCATTGGTATCAGTGGGGGAATAGTGCCCCATCATTGGTCTTAGCAGGAGGAATAGTGCCCCATCATTGGTATCAGTGGGGGAATAGTGCCCCATCATTGGTCTTAGCAGGAGGAATAGTGCCCCATCATTGGTCTTAGCAGGAGGAATAGTGCCCCATCATTGGTCTTAGCAGGAGGAATAGTGCCCCATCATTGGTCTTAGCAGGAGGAATAGTGCCCCATTAATGGTGTCAGTGGAAGGAATGGGCCTCATCATTGGTGTCAGTGGGATGAATAGAGTCCCGAGGACTGGATAGAGGTAAGCAAAGGGCCTCATCTAGCCCTTGGGCCACAGTTTGGTGACCACTGTACTGGACGATTGCAAACAGGGACAGACCAGACTAAGGCTGGCCATACATTATACAATTATCTGGAGATTTTTGGTTTAGATTTACCAAAAACCATATAATAAGAGGACAAACCTAAACAACACTTTCAGTTGTATCCAATTAGGCAGGCCCTTGCACTACATAGTTGAAGGTAAATCTAAAGGAAATTGGGCAGAAAATTGGAAGATAATTGTATAATGTATGGCCAGCCTTAGGGGCCCACAAGGGGAAGGGAGAAGGGCCCTAAGCAAAGTGCGCTGTGGGCCACAGTGAAGAGTGGGTGTGCCTACAAAATGGGTCCACAGTTCCACTGATGGCCCCATGCACACTGGGCGCCCCATACGAGGCTCAGACATTTAGGTGCAGGCATCCAGCCCTGGGCTCATACTGTCCTATATGTTAATACTGCTAGGTGTACCATGCAGCCCTGTCCAACCAAAGCAGCTGTCAGTCTCTCGGACATGCTGATGGCCGCTGGGCTGGACAGTGTGCTTGGGGTCGCAAATAAACACTGGAGCCCCATGCATCGGGACTAAATGCTCAGGCCTTAAAGTGGCAGCACACAATAGCGCAGTGCGTATTACTTGGGGCGCACCCGGTGATATTCCAGCGTTGATGGTTTGTTTTTTTTTTTCCTTACATGTGGCTTAATAAACCAGGAAAGAGATACTAATTGATATGACTGACAATCAGCCACAGAGTAATCACCGTGGACAGACGACTTCCCAACAGACTGCTTTTTCTAAAGGGATTCCATAAAGCGTCTTATGGAAAGTTATAATATATGTCTCCGACTTGCAGAGAGAAGAAGCGATAATTATCATTTTCCTCCTCTTCCCCCGTATCTGTTGATCTGTGCCGTGTTGAATACACACAGATGTACAATTATATTGAAATTAATTTCTCAGCACACGGCATGTTAGACACCCGGCATGAATACAGAATTATGTTTCTCCCGAGCTCGGCGTTCAATGCTGACATTCACATTTCCATTTTTTTTCCTCCACGCTTGCCTCCGCACTGACTTTCTTTCAGCTTTCAGAGAATGTGCAAATTAGTTCCCCATTAGATTTTATTCTGCATGGCAAATAATAACGCATAGAATGTTCGCAGCTTTAATATTCTCTAAATTGTATTATTTCTAAATGTACAATGGAGGCCCCAATGTACCACAGCTTAAAGGCGGTGGATTTCATGCAGTAAGATTGATGTATAAATGATAAAATATGTTTGCTGTAAGTTATCTATATCAAAGCTAGAATTACTGTGTTTCCCCCTTGAAGTCAATGGAAGTGTATTAAAATGCATGTCAATGTGCGTTGACGTGTGTTAACGCACATTGCAATTTACTTTGTATTACATGTCAAAGCATGCCATACAGTCAGACCCATCTGTTCGGGTGGTGCCACTGTGGGACCTGCATATAAATACCACCAGCTGCAACCACCCACACAGAGAAATGCGGGACCCATGGGCAGGTGCCATCAATCCTAATGCAGGGACTTCTTTCCTGCATTTCCCGGGTCTTGCCAGCCCATTCAAATGAATGGGATCTTGTGCCCATGCAAAGCGCAGCCTTCATGGCCGCACAGGTGTAAACCTAGCCTCAGTGCCGGGACAAGGTCAACAAGCACCCAGGGCAAAGATACCAAACTAAACCCCCCGGTTTATGATGCAAGTTTAGGGGATCCTACGCCCAGCAGTCACTTGCTGGTCAAAATCACTGCTACTGTCTCTACTCCTGTCAGCCTTGAAAAAGAGGGAAGGCACCCCCATTTCTACAGTAAACCATTGCGCCCAGGAAAACCACCCCTTCTCCCCACCCCTTGTCCTGGCTCTGCATACAGTACGTTGGTGCACACTGACACTCCTTCTAATGCAGGCCAGAGTACTTGGTGTCATTCTGGACTCCAACCTATCCTTCCAGCCCCAAGTCCAATCTTTAACAAACTCGTGCAGACTCCACCTCCGCAACATCGCCAAAATCCGCACGTTCCTAACCCCAGAAACCACTAAACAGCTCATCCACTCCCTCATCATATCACGACTCGACTACTGCAACTCCCTCCTCACTGGCCTGCCTCGCCGCTGGCTATCCCCGCTTCAGTCGATCCTGAATACGGCTGCCAGATTTATTTACCTTTCCAACCGCTCCATCTCCGCCACCCCCCTCTGCCAATCCCTCCACTGGCTTCCGATTGCGCAACGGATCAAATTCAAAATCCTAACACTGACGTACAAAGCTGTCCACCATACTGCCCCGAACTACATCACTGACCTAATATCCAAGTACCACCCAACACGCACACTCCGCTCCTCACAAGACCTCCTTCTCTCTAGTTCCCTGGTCTCCTCCTCCCATGCCCGCCTCCAGGACTTCTCCAGGGTGTCACCCATCCTCTGGAACTCCCTGCCCCAACCCATCAGATTATCACCTACTCTCCTTTAGGCGCACCCTGAAAACCCATCTCTTCAGGGAAGCCTACCCCACCCCCTGCTAACTTGCCGACATCCTCCACTCTTCCTACCACTCCATCCCCCACAGCTATCTCCTCCTGTGCCACCATTCCCTCCCTCCTAGATTGTAAGCTCCAAAGAGCAGGGCCCTCGATCCCCTCATGTTTTGCAATGTATTGGTATTGTTCTGTCACATGTTCTATCCCCCTTTGTAATGTACAGCGCTGAGCGAACTATTGGCGCTTTATAAATACTGTATAATAATAATAATAATGCATGTGTTGAGTAGCGTTTCCATTGATTTGAATAGAAAAAACATCGAGCAAAAATTAGGACCCGTTTCCACATCTGCATTTTAATGTGAGCATTGGGATGCACTAAAACAGATGTGCCATCTAAGGCAGTCTCCATGATGAAGCCCTTCCTTGGGTGAAAAAAAAACATTGTGCCGAGGTTTGCACATGTCTATTAGCACAATTTGGCCACACTCACCATTTGACTGCATGTGCCTCCTCATTCCTCTGCTCTGGGTTCCCAATGGTGGCCCAGGTCTTTCTCGGTCTCAGCAATGCCCTTGTTCAGTTGCATATCTAAGAAGCACCAAAAAAGACAGTAGTTCCCATTTAACACATACTGGGGTGGATGGGTGTCTGCGCATTGCCAGCTTCTGAGAGAGCCACATGTGCAGCCAATCAGACGTCCTTTGAAGATCGTTCAATCAACGAGAGAGGAGGGGAAGTTGGAGAGGAGCCACTGCTTCAACGAGAGTACTATGAATAGTGTGTAGCCTATCTAGTTCAGTAATGGGGGGGAGGGGTTGGGTGCCAAGGTAGGGAATTGCTTTTAAAAAATTTTTTTTACTGCAGTGGAAACCGGGGAAAAAACCACTCCATTGTTCATATGTTGATATTCTCTAGCACAGGGGTCTCCAAACTGTGGCCCAGGGGCTGAAAGTGGCCCTTTGCTTGCCTTTATCTGGCCCTTGGGGCACATTTCCTTCCACTGACACCAAAAACAGGACACTATTCCTCCTACTGACAACAATGATGTAAGTTTTTTACTCCCAGTAACCACCAAGCCTATGGCACTGGTTATTCCCGCCAATGCCAGGGCATTTTCTATTCCCACTGGCCACAGTCCGGCCCCCCTAAAGTTTGAAGGTCAATAAAATGGCCCTTTGTTTCAAACATTTGGAGATCCCTGCTCTAGTACAACCACTGTTGAAAAACATAAACCATGAAGTCTTTGTGGCAGATACTGAATGGTCTGACAGCATGCTGGCATACTACCTTGTAATAGATAACACCATATTCTTTTTTTTAACTACTTGCCGACCGCAGATAGCCGAATGACGGCTTCACTGCGGCCGGCCAGTTCTGGGTGGACGTCATATGACGTCCCCCCAGAACGCGCCCTCCTGCGCGCCCCAGGGGGCGCGCACCTGGCGATCTTCATGATCGCTGTGTCCTACTACGGACACAGCTGATCACGAAATGTGGTAAAAGGTTGATCATACCGGCCTTTTACCACGTGATCAGCGGTGTCCAATGACACGCTGATCACAGGGAAATGCAAGTGCCGGTTCTCGGCTGCACTTTCCTCACGCTGTCAGATCGTGAGGAAAGTACTGCCGAGAACCGGCAGTTGTCAGAGCGAGGATCGGCACCGATCATCAGGGCCACTGATGATCAGTGCCCTGATGATCGGTGCCCAGCAGTGCCACCCACAAATTCCGCCCACCTGTGCCCAGCAGTGCGCCCACTAGCTCCGCCCACCTGTGCCCAGCAGTGCACCCACCTGTGCCCAGCAATGCACCCACCTGTGCCACTCTGCAGTGTCACACACCTGTGCCCAGCAGTGCCACCCACCTGTGCTCACCCACCTGTGCCCACCAGTGCCACCCACCTGTGCCCACCCACCAGTGCTGCCCACCAGTGCCACCCACCAGTGCAGCCCAGCAGTGCTGCCAGTCAGTGCCACCAATCAGTGCCCAGCGGTTGTGCCAGTCAGTGCCGCCAGTCAGTGCCCAGCAGTGATGCCAGTCAGTGCCATCTATCAGTACCCATCATCAGTGTCACCTATCAGTGCCGCCTATCAGTGCTGCATATTAGTGCCGCCTATCCGTGACACCTCATTAGTGCTGCATATTAGTGCCGCCTATCCGTGCCACCTCATTAGTACTGCCTATTAGTGCCCTTTAGTGCTGCCTATCAGTGCCCATCAGTGCCGCCTATCAGTGCCCATCAGTGCTGCCTCATCAACGCACATCAGTGAAGGAGAAAAAATACCTGTTTGAAAAATTTTATAATAGAAACAAAGAAACTTTTTTTTTTTTTTTTCAAATTTTTTGCATTTTTTAATTTATAGCACAAAAAGTAAAGCGCCCAGTGGCGATTAAATACCACCAAAAGAAAGCTCTATTTGTGAGAAAAAAATGATCAAAATTTCATATGGGTACAATGTTGCATGACCGCGCAATTGTCAATCAAAGTGCGGCAGCGCTGAAAATTGGCCTGGTAAGGAAGGGGGTATAAGTGCCTGGTAGGCAAGTGGTTAATGATGTGCCTATTTCACCTAATTCTTTTCAGCAGGAAAGGGGTTACTATAAGTGGACAGGTGCACGGTTGACATACCACCTCGTCGGTTGCACTCCTGGGCTCCCTAATGCCGCTTGTTTTCTGGTCAGATGTCGTCTGTCCACGTATGACGAGAGCCAGAAGGAAAACATCAGATGGCTTGTGGGTACTCAGAACACGCTGATTCTGCCAACATAGGAATATGGCGCTTTATTTCCCCACCAATCTGTCAATCTGAGAAGCCTGAATGGAGAACATTTACTTCTCTTGTGCTCTGTATGCCAGATTGCTTTAGTGCTCATGGTTAGGGGACTGTGCTGTGTATTATCTTGTGACAAATGTTTGTTAATGTATCACTTTTATTACGTTTTGGAGTAAGGAATTAAAAAATCTTTTGTCCCAATGGGGAGATTTGCTTTCATTGTCCCAGAAACAGGAAACCTATCCAATGTGAAGGTAAATACCTTTTCAGACAACTTTCACTGCTACAGGTTTCCCCTCATTTCCTGTCCTGGTGACAACCATATAATTTTGATATTCCATCAATTTGTTTTCCTGTGGCAATAGTCATCAGGACCAGCATAGTTCCCAACTGTCCCTGACTTCAAGGGACTGTCCCTGATTTCAAAGTCCCTCTGTCCCTTTTTACTCCTCATCTGTCACTCATTTTGGTCTCATCTATATAGTTATTTAAAAAATGCACTATTTATCTTTCAAAAAGTGTTTAAACCTTGCTAAACATTTCATCCAGTTTCTAAATTGTTACATTTGTAAGTTTCAAAAGCCAGTATAAAGGCATAGTAATAAAAAGCAAAAAAGAAAGCACTTGTGGGTTTAACACATTTGTTTGTGTAATTCTCCTTTGAGGGGGGCGTGCCAGGGGGTGTGTCCTATGCCTACATCCTTTTGTTAACCACTTGCAGTCTGCCTGCTGTTTATAAATGGCAGGACGGTGGCACTCCAGGGGCGGGTTGCCGTTCATAAACAGCACCCGCCTTTTCTAGCCCCAGGGAGCGCGCAGCACCGCGATCCGGTGCCCGCTGTGTCCTCCGGACACAGTGAAACACCGATCTTTGGACGGGACCTCTGTACGAGGTCCCGATCATGTGATCACTGATTGGCCAATCAGTGATCACATGCAAAGTAGTAAGCAAGATGTCACTTGTGACATCATTGCTTACTACGTGTGAAATCTGTGAATGATCACAGAGGTCACATGGTACAAGGCTATTCACAACAGGCTTGTACCATGTGACAAGCTGTGACCAATCACAGCTCACTCAGTACTTCTTAATGACTGCAAGAATGCAGACAGAGAGAAAGAGAAATGATTGCTTTTACGTCCTCTATGGGTGTAAAAGCAATCAGTGTAAAAAAAAAAAAAAATCTTCATCACCCCCCACAAGTAGTACAGTGTCACCATGGTGACACTGTACTGCTAGGGTGACAGTATGTAAAAAAAATAAATAAAAATAATATAAAAAAATAAAATAAAAATGTTTAAAAATTATAATTTTTGGTTATAAACTAATTTGGATTTTTTTTTGTTTTTACTAAATAAATAACGGAATACATTTTGGCCAAGATTTATGATGAAATATTATTTATTTGCAAAATTGTATTTAAAAAAAACACTTTTTTTCAAAATTTTTGGACTTTTTCATTTACATAGTAAAAAAAAAATAAAAATCCCAGCAGTGAATAAATACCACCAAAATAAAGCTTTATCTGTCTCAAAAAAATGGCAAAAAATTCATATGGGTACAGTATTGCATGACCGCGCAATTGTCATTCAAAGTGTGATAGCTCTGAAAGCTGAAAATTGGCCTGGTCAGGAAGGGGGTAAATGTGTCCGGATAGGAAGTGGTTAATAGTTGTCCCTCATCCCCATCTCAAAAAGTTGTGAAGTATGGGACTAGGGATGAAGTTTGGGTTCCCTTATCATGATTCTGAGGACTCGAAAAGACCTTCTCCCCACTATATCAGATTTTCATACTTACTAGATGCTTTGGATTTGCTAGGACAGTCCTGTTTTATAAAGGCCAACTTCGGGCAAACAAAAAAAGTTTTTCCCTGCAGTCGGGCTATATCCACCCGACCTTCCACTGTAGTGGCAAAAAGCGCTCCCCCATGATCCAGCGGAGGACTGCTCCTGACTTCCTCATGTCCAGAGCAGGTCAATGAGTTTGATGACGTCAGGAACTCCACTCCTCAAAACTGCTAGACCATGAGGAAAGGGGAAGGAGCCACAGGAACCGGTCTTATGTTGGGAGGATCAGAAGATCAGGTAAGTATCTTTCCCTTCTCCTGGCTCTAGACAAAAATGAGTAATTGACCTTTACAGTGCAGGCACATCCCCAATGCATGAGAAAACTTTTTTTTTTACCTGGAGTTGGGCTATAAGTTGTCCCACAATGTCCAGAGATCACTGAGTCTGTCTATTATTACCTCTGCCCAGCAGCCCTGTCTCTGTTACATTAAAAAATACCATATATACTGGTAATGAGGGATAATGAACCTAAAATACACAATGCCTGAGTCAAACATTTAACTATGAAAAATAACCTCACTCCCTTAAACCAGTGGTCTCCAAACTGTGGCCCGGGTGCTGAATGTGGCTCTTTGCTTGCTGTTATCTGACCCTATGGGGCATTATTCTCTCTACTGTCAGCAACAGTGGAGCACAGTTCCTGCCACTGACAATGGGGAACTATTCTTCAAGCTGACACCAACTATTATTCCTTCCACTGACACCAATGATGGGACACTATTACTCCCCCCAGTACCAATCATGGGGCATTGTTTACTCCCACTGGCCACAGTACATTTTCTTCTTCCACTGGCCACAGTCTGGCCCCCCTAACATTTGAAGAACAGTAACTTGGCCCTTTGTTTAGAAAGTTTGGCAACCCCTGTGTAACAGAACCGGTACCCGACAGCACTTGAGTATATTCCATTGAACCGCAGCTTCCCCTGTCCGAACACCATCCACGGACCACACCCTGAAATCCCTCAGGAAAAAGACAGCACCCAGCTCTTCTTAATACAGGAAGCCAACTCTTTTTATTTTAACACAAAACACAGGATATATACAGAGGGCGGGGAAACAACCAAGAACAGGAAATACATCATCACCCCTCCCCATCCCACCAAGACACAGAACAATGGGATGAAGCACATGGCAAAGGACATTGACCAACCCCCCACACCAATACACAAACAGTACATCCCATAATAGTTGGCTGGACAGGAAGACACAGCACAATGGGGGGTAGCACATGGCAAACAGACAATGGACAACCATGTGACCGAGAACAAAGGAACACACACTATATACAAGACTCAGACATTCACATACACACCCTGTACCCCTTAACAGGCACAGGGTGGGTTAAACATAATGATTTGGGGAGATGATACAGAGGTCCCCCTACCCCCAAAAGTCACTCCCATCACACCCTGCCTTAAACCAAGGGAACGGAAAAATATTGTGAAAAATGACGCTCGGGGAGGAAAAAGAAAGGGACAAGAATTTGTAACCAAAAAAAAGAAAGGGGGTGGTGGAGGGGGAAGATGAGGGTGGGTACGGTATGGGGTGAGACTGGGAATACTGGGCAGGAAGCAGATGGGGGGGGCGGGGAAGGTGTTTGTCATTTAGCTTTAAACTGGCCAAAATTTAAAAAAAAGAATTCGCCCTGAAAAGATTTTAATGGGATTCGCCACTAAGTTTTGTTATGCACTCAGCGAATCGAATTCAGGCAGATTCACTCATCATTACCCAGGACAAGCAGAGAGATCAAAGTTCCCTAGAAGAGCAATAAAAATATGAAAGTGGTTTTTTAACCCTACTCCATCCAAAACATGATTTACTTTACTGAACTTGAAGCTGTTACACAGTAATGGCAGCAGGTGCAGAGGGAATATGTTCATTGTTCTTGACAGCATTTCGGGACAATAAAAAACAATAAGAACATTTATCCTGCTTACATTGTACCAGTCTCTGGTGGTGTTTGCAGTTCTAAATCTACAGTGCACCACAAATCCCATCTGAATGTTGTCAGATATCATTTGTCACAAATATTTTGATATGTTAGCCGACATCACATGTAAAATTTCTGCACCAATATGTCATATTCTAGCTGATATTATTTCCAGCTTCATTATTCATTTTTAATTGAATGCATCTTAAAATATATTCACTTACTAGCTGAATGGCTTTACTCATACCTAATGTTTGCTTTTTATGCCTTTCAGCATTGCAAAGACAAAAGGAACAACTGGATCAGAGGATGTCATTGGATCAGGGGCGGACTGACCATTTGGAAACTCGGGCACTGCCCGAGGGCCCGGGGTCAGTAGGGGGTCCCATGAGATGCCCCTGGTACCTTTTTCATAGGCTTTTTTGAGTTTGGGCAAGCATACAGGGGCCCCATGATCCCCTATTGCCCGGGGGCCCCATGAGTTGTCAGTCCGC